AGTTGAGTAGGAGAGTGATTTGACAAATTATTTCGGGGAAGAATATTAAGAAGATAAGTAGCCATTTGAAGAGCATGATGCCAAAATGAGGGAGGAACAGAAGAATGAGCGAGAAGAGTGCGAATCACATTGTTAATGGTGCGTATTTTACGTTCCGCTTTGCCATTTTGAGATGAAGTGTGAGGGCAAGAGAAACGGAAAATAAGACCATTATCAACACAATATTTCTAAAATAATGTATTATTATATTCGCGCCCATTATCACATTGAAAACATTTTACGGTTTGAGAAAATTGTGTGCGAATTTGATTAGAAAGCAAAGTGAACATTTGAAAAACTTGAGATTTGTTAGTTATCGGAAACGTCCATAGAAAATCAGAATAATCATCCAAAAATAAAACATAATACCGATGACCAGATGAGCTTAAAATTGGTGATGTCCAGATATCACTGTGTAAAATATCAAAAGGCATTAAAGTAACATTTTTGGATGAATCAAAGAGCAACTTAATATGTTTGCCAAACACACAGGAATTGCAAATAGTCTTAGAACTCAAATTTTCACTACGAATGAACTTATTTCTATGAAGAGACTGCAAAGTGGAAGAACTGGGATGACTGAGACGATTGTGCCAGAGACTGGAAGCAAGACCAGCAAAATGAGAGGGAGAGGTAACGGGGTAGAGATCGCCATGTCTATCACATCTCATGAGAGGAATCCCTGTCTGAAAGTCAAATACAAAGAAACCAAAAGGATCAAACGAAACAGAGACATTATTGTCAGTAGTAAGTTGTCGCACGGAAATCAAATTTTTAATAATTTTTGGTGTGTGTAAAACATGGTTAAGGTTTAAGGTTTTGTGTTTGTGAGATGTAGGTAGGCTTGTGCAACCGGACCCTTGAATTGGAATGCCTTGTCCACTGCCAACAATCAGTTTCTGATTTAAAGGACTCAAATTAGAATAAGATGAGAGATTACCTTGGGATGTCGTTGTATGGGATGAAGCTCCAGTGTCCATGTACCATGTGCTGTCTGGAGGAGTGAGAGACATGGTGTGCATAGCAGCGGCAATGTCAGTGGGGGTTGGTGAAGTTGTGGCAGTGTGAGCCTGAGGATGTTGGCCTAGGATGCCTAGTTGCTTCGAAGGACCGGTGGGACGAGTCCACTGAGATGTAGGATAAGGGCAAGGAGGTACACCCCAAGGAGGTGGGGTCCAACCCCAAGAAGACCATGGTGGATACTGGGGCTGCTGCCATGGCTGAGGGGTCCATGAAGGACCATCATATCGGGAACCACCACGCTGTCCACGCCCTCCGGTGCGAGTCTGATTGTTGTGGTTATAGCCAGAACCAGAGCGGTTATTCTGATGACGATTGGAGCGCTGCTGGGAGGAATCATCTGAGTCTCGTGGAATGGCGGTGTGCAATGCAGTTGGAGAGCTAGTGTTGTGCATTTTTGTCAAACCGGATTCTTCCAAGGTGAGCATGGAGCGAGCCTGAAAAAATGATGGCAAAGGATTGCTATGGTGAATCAAGGTTGCAACCCCACGGTATGGCTCAGATAGTCCAGACACCAGTTGAAGGACCAATCGGTGACTACTGACTGGTGCTCCAACGTTCTTCAACTGATCAGAGAGTTGCTTGAGACGCTGACAATACGCAGAAACATTAGGAAAATCCTCCATGCGAGTAGATGAAAAATCCCGTTCAAGGGCAACGGCACGAAAGTTTTGATTATCCTCAAAGATATCAGCCAAACGATTCCAAGCAGCCATGGCATTGGATCCTTTTTCCATAATGGTGGTAAGAAGATCAAGAGAGATGGTGGAATAAATCCATTGAAGAACCGTGGAATCAAGGATTGTCCACATTTCAAAACTAGCATCAGTGGAAGCGGACGTCTCTTTTCCGGGTTGAGGAATGATGTGGTCGATAACCTTGTGGGCACGAGCATGAACCTCAAACAATTAAACCCACATGGTGTAGTGATCCTTCTCCATCTCTAGCACAAAGGGAATGCTATTTTTGATATTGGTGACGGCAAGGGGCGGATGAAAATCGGATTTCCCCGGAGCAGTAGTAGAGGAAGACATTGCAGCATTTGAAGAGGCGGCGGCGGAGGATGACATAGAAGTGTCGGAAGACATGTTGACAGTGAATGATTGAATTAGAACAGAACGGATGCAGGTTCAGAATCGATTTTGCCAGAACAGAACCAAGGCGGCGACAACGAACAGAGGACAGAGTGATGGTTCGCAGCGTGAGCGCGGAAGTGGGCGGCGCTAGTGAAGCCTGATGGTGGCAGCGGCGGCCTAGTGAGAATGTAGAACAACCGGCGGCGGCGGTGCTAAGGTCACGCTGGAAATGCGTTTTCTCGTAATACCATGTAAGAGAGAATATTATTATAATATAATTGTCTATATTTTATTCATCTGATCAAGAGTATATATAATACAATAATAATAGGTTATTTAACCTATGAGTAATGACAGATATAAATGAAAATAATTATAAATAATTACAAAAATAATTATGTTTAATGGCAAGAATATTATCTATTCTATCAACATCATCCCAACAATTATCAATATCATTCATTCACATTACGTACTAGTAAATTACATAATCAAAAGAGAAGCATACCCTCCAGCTTCATGACTGAATATACGAGGAAACAATGGAGTCTGACCTTGAAAACAGTGGAAAAAAAAGAAAGAAAACCAAGTTAAGCTATTGCAATTCATAACAACAGGGAGAAACAAAACACACTATTAGTCTTTGTAATATACCTTAGCTTCCCAAAAGTAAACATCAGTGTGGCAAAGGGAGGTAAAGAGTATCTTGAGACGAACTTCACCGGCCTGTGGTGGCGCCACCTCTACTTCTTCAATCACCAGCAGTTTCCCAGCTTCCCATGAGACTTCTCTCGTTCAATAATAACATTTGCTTGGTTATGAAGCATTGACAGCTCTAGTCACTGTTGTTAACAATTGTCCAAGGTCTAGCCATGTTATGTAAATGATCAGAACTAATTGACGAAACCAGCCTGGAATTATTCTTACCATTTAGTGGAAGTAACAAGTCCAACACGATCAGTGCGACAGCTATTCTGTGTGCTTGCTGACTTGTGGTTATATGCAGTGGAAGCAGTTAAAAGCTGTGCAAATAGCCACACAATTGCAACCGTAAATAGCACAACGTATCGGTCATGTATAGGCCTCACGGTGCTAATATACCGATGAAGATACTGCAGAAAGAAACAGAATTTCCATACCGAAAACTCAAACCGAAACCTCAAGCAAATTCTGGTACAAGATGAGATTCATGTTACAAAAAAATACACACTATAGATTCACATTGATTGAGTTCCATTTTATATTGAATTGAGATACAACCCACATGTTAGATAAACTTGTGCATTAAGTTATTATGTTCAACCATGTGTTCATACATTGTAATATCTGTGATACGATCATACGGGAAAAAAAAAGGTAAATAAAAAAGGGAAAAACCATCTGTGTCAACAAAATTGATGTTGACATTCATTTCTTGCCTTAAACATGTTATTCTTTTCCGCAGTAATATGATATATGTAGTTGTCATTGAATGTTCAATCGAATAAAGCAGTTCATTAAGAAAAACAAAATCCAGCAAGACAACATCAATGCAAAAACTAGAACTATATTCTTGCAAAGCAATGATAAGCTGATAAGCATTTCAAGGGTAATCAATATAATGCAAATTTCAATGTGTGAGGATTTGACTAATGTAATCAAGTGTCTAACAAAACTTATTTAATAAGCTCGAAGCAGGACTATAACACAGCTCATCTGTTACTTGAGCAGCATTTATCTTGAACCCCCGTAAGTACGCATTGTCCTTCTAGTGCGGGAATTTGTATGAGCTCGCTGTCCACGACAGGATAAACCATCAGCGTGCCTGATCCCTCTGTAGCATTGAATACCAACCAACCTTCCCACATCTCTCTCAACTAACTTTTTCTGAAATCGAAAAGTAACCAAAACAATCAACCACATTATACATTATATTATGGAATAAAACACATAATGTGCAAAATCAAAAAGTAAAAAAGATTAGAGTACCAAATCATTTCCAATAAAATACTTGGCAAGCAATTCACGAAGAGAGTATAGTTCTCTTTTGCTTAGGTCCTTCACATACTTGTTCTCAACTCCAAGCTCACACACAATGTGATGAGCTTTTGCACGGCCAATCCCGTGGATATGCTGAAGAGCATACTGAAGACGTTTGCTATCGGGATCTCACCTCCAAGACCACCTCCAATGTTTATGTTTCGTACTTGCACACTGCGAAACTGCACAAAACCAAAACAGTAGGAACTTGGCCATCACAATGCCAAACAATTACTACCTTGTCATGACAGTAGGAGCTTGGCCATCACAATGCCAATCAATCAAGCACTAAATCCTTATATTGTTTTAATGATAGTTTACTAATTTGTCAAACAATTACAAACCAAACATTAGCATGAGCAAAAAAACTAAACATCCAGCAACTAGGGTTGGAAGAAAATGTTGCCGCACGTGGTGCAGGATGAACTCCTACTACTGTCTTGGCCCTGGAAATCCTAGACAACATGTTTTGTAAACAGAAATTCTAGCCATTGGTGCACCTCCCCTAGCTTTTCCTGCTGCCAAACCCTTATAGTTCATATCTGCGACGTATCGTCCTACTGCTGTGGAAGCTATATGGGTCCCATGACCAGAGCTGTCTCTTGAAGATCTCAAAGAGACTTTCTTGTCTGACCCTTCTTCTGCTTCATATCCACTCATATAATATCTTGCTCCTATCATTTTCCTAAAGTATACCATCAATTATTAACCATTGAATATGGTCCACCTTGAACCTAATAATACATATGAAGTCAAAAAAATCATGAAGTGATGATCATGTTATTCAATCAAAAACCTGTTGCAAGATGAAGCATTGAATGCTTCTCCTATTTGACATCGACCTTTCTATCTGCGTGGAATTGGTGGCATGTTAGTGTCTCTAAAGCTTGGGGATTCTGGCCAAATTCCTGTGCAAATAATGGTGATTGATTATGACTAAAACCTGTTAATCATGCTTGGCTTTTACTGCTATTCTTTAAAGTAGTAAAAGAAATAAATAAAGTGTGTAAATACTTATGAAAATAAGACTTCTCACTCACCTGTATCAATGATACCAATAATAACATTTGCTTGGTTTTTGTTTGAGTACCCCATATTCTCCATGGTTTTATCATCCAAAAGTTCCATGAAATCCCATGAATGAGTAGTGTGGAACATTCTTTTAGAATTGGCCACTCAAATGATTCGACAGTAAGCAAAGTATGAGATATAATAGGGCCACTCAAATGAGTTAATAGGCTATTTAATAGTCTATGAAGTTAATAGGGCCACAATATCTTAAGCCCTACAGTAATTGAGAAGATTTCTGGTGTAAGAATGTATGACGGCAAAATATAAGTAAGGTTAAGGCAATTACCCAAAATTTGAGAAGTACGTTGATAACACGAAATCATATATATATTTCGATGCATAATTCAACTAATGTTTAACTGTTTTCGATCCAATTTCGGGTTATTTCCATGTTATTTGTCTGATACTTTGCAGGTATTTGATGATCATGTCTAAACAAGTCAATATGAAGAAAAGAAGCAATCTCAGATGAAATATGGACGAAAACTGGATGAAAACAACATGAAAAATGCAGAATGCTGATTTTGCTGCTGTGACGACCGTCACAGCTCCATGACGACCGTCACACGGGTGACGACCGTCACACACCGTGACGACCGTTATGCAGGAAAAAACGCCCCACTTCAAATGCACGTGAAAGAAGCAGTTCCAAGTCCCAAATAGTGGACCACTACTCCCTGATAATTCTGCCTCAAAGTCCACCTTCTTCAAGTTATAACCGTTAGAATTCTATTTCTATAAAAGGGGAAGGAGGGGAGCTGAAAAAGGGAGCCGCATTCAGACAACGAAGTGTTGCCAATTTATCTTCAGAGCAACCTTTCCAGTTTTTAACATTCTTATTTGTTTCTCTTTTCTCTTTCTGCATTCCTTTGATTCTTCTATAATTCTTATTTCCGTTGTACGATCCATTGGCACAAAGACCGGAATCTTGCCAACGTTTGTGGAGGATCTGCCCAAAGGTCAATTGGAATATTTACAGGTTTCTCATTTTAATCGTAATTCCAGTTTTTATTATGATGCATGCTATTATTTATTGTTTCTATTTATGTTTTACCTTTCCCAAATCCATGTCTAGCTAAATCAAAGTAATCGATATGTAATAATAATTCGGAAGGGATTTGATAATAACTGGTCGAAAATTATCTTCTTCAAAAGTTGTTTATGGTCTGAGTGTTTAAATTTATTTACTGAATAAACTTCGTCGCGAAAGCGAGAACTTATTTAAAAGTAGTTTTGCCACGAAAGTGGGAAATTAATTAAGGTACGAACCAACAAGCGAAAGCTGCGGAAAGACCAGATAGTAAACACTAGTCATTTGTTTTAATAATAGCGAAAGCACTTTAAAATGAATTAGAACTTAGAGATTTCCAAAAAATAGTTTTAACCCCGAATGGGACACGAAAGCGTACGTTTGGCCCTTAGAATTATGATTAGCGTCAATAACCATCGTGAGACGAGAGTCTTCAAATCACTATTTTCTACTTAAATAAACTCTGAAAAATATTTCATATACCAGTAAGTTGTCAAATCCCCGAAGAACATAATTACTGCATATCGATTCACTTAATTATAATTTAATTAACATTTTTTAGTTCCCTTTAGTGACAATCTTATTCCCTTAAGCATTATCTACCTAGCTAAACATAGTAACTCCCGAGAACACTAGTTTGATTACGAGTCCCTGTGGGATCGATATCTATTATTACTACGCGATAGACTGTGCACTTGCAGTTAAGTTGTATTAGACATAGAAAGTCGCAATCAAGTTTTTGGCGCCGTTGCCGGGGACCCGTTTAGTCAATAGTGTAACCTTCTGTTACGCCGTATAGACTAGGTTAACAATTTCATTTTTCCTTTACTAGTGTTGTCGATTGTATGCCAAGTAATCGCCCACAAGGCGATATCTTGAAACCTTCAGTCGCAGAACTAGAGCGCTTCTTACATCTAAGAAGCCGAATCATTGAGTACCAACTCAAACATAACATTCCCGATCCTCTCACTCCCATTCCCAAATCCGAAGAAGAATCAAACATGGCTGAAGGACCTCCAAACAAACCGCTGAAGGCATACGCTACACCCTCTCAGATGGAGCCTAGAAGTAGCATTGCTGCCCCAGCTATTACTCGAAACGATTTTGAGCTGAAACCATTATTGCTGTCAGCGGTACAACAAAACCAATTCTCAGGAAATGCAACTGAGGATCCAAACGAACATTTAACGAAGTTTGTACAATACGCAGACACAATGAAAGCAAATGGAGTAACTCCAGACGCGATAAGACTTCGTCTTTTCCCATTCTCTCTTAGAGACAGAGCGTGGACATGGTTACAATCTTTACCATCCAACTCCATTACGACGTGGGAACAATTGAAGAACGTCTTCTTAACGAGATATTTTCCGCCAAGCAAAACTGCTATGCTTAGAGCTCAAATCAACGGATTTCGACAAAAAGATACCGAATCTCTTTACGAAGCATGGGAACGATTCAAAGATATGATGAGAACATGTCCTCACCACGGTTTAGAAGACTGGGTGACAATCCATACTTTCTATAATGGGCTTTTATACAATACCAGATTGACAATAGACGCTGCCGCGGGCGGTGCACTTATGGATAAGCCATACGACGAAGCCTATCAACTAATCGAAAACATGTCTCAGAACCACTGCCAATGGGGAGGTGAACGCACTCCAACAGAGAAAACCACAGCGAAAGGTGGGATGTACGAGATCAGCAGCCTTGAAAAGTTCAACGCTAAAGTAGATGCTCTAGCACAGAAGATTGATAGTCTGACCGTTAACCCCACTGCAACCGTCGCTGCCGTAACTCCAAATTGCGAGTTATGCGGAAGCACCACTCATAATGCGCCCGAATGCCCATTGCTAGCCGGAATCCCACCAGACCAAGTAAATTATGCTCAAGGAAATCCTTACGCAAATACTTACAACCCAGGTTGGCGAAATCATCCAAACTTTTCTTACAAAAGCGAAAACGCATTGCAAATGCCTACTGCTCCACCAGGATATTAGAAACCAGCTGCTGCTCAGACTGCACCTAGAAAATCAAACCTCGAGTTGATGATGGAAAAATTCATAGCTACTCAAGCCCAAACAAACAAAGAATTCCTGAATTAAAACATACACACTAGCGAGCAAATTAAACAGTTGACCGGAAAAGTAGACGCTTTAGCCACCCACAACAAAATGTTAGAAACACAGATATCACAAGTGGCTCAACAACAAGCCTCTGCTGCCGCACCCGCTGGCACATTCCCTGGACAACCCGAACAGAATCCAAAAGGTCAAGCAAATGCTGTAATACTAAGAAGTGGAAAAGAATTGGACGAACCGATCAATCCGAGGACCGAAAACTCAGCCATGCAACAAAAACCAACTGAACAAGCAGAAAAGGAATCTGAGTTAGAGAAGAAGGAAGACAACGAGAAGGAGGATACCACAAGTGAAAAAACTCAAGCACCTCCAGCGCCATATAAACCACCTATCCCTTATCCTCAAAGATTAATAAACTCCAAAACTTCAGGACAATTTAAGAAATTTGTAGAGCTCCTTAAATAGTTGAATATCACTATTCCTTTTACAGAAGCGATAACTCAAATGCCGTCATACGCTAAATTTCTCAAAGAAATCCTGTCAAATAAGAGAAAGATCGAGGATAACGAAACAGTTACACTTACTGTAGAGTGTAGCGCTATTATTCAAAACCGCATGCCTCCTAAATTAAAAGACCCAGGTAGTTTCTCCATACCCTGCGTCATAGGAAAGTTCGTGATAGACAAAGCTCTATGCGATTTAGGAGCCAGTATCAGTGTTATGCCTTTATCTATATGAAAAAAGCTGAATATGGGAGACCTAAGACCAACCAAAATGTCCGTACAATTAGCTGACCGATCAGTAAATTACCCCGTCAGAATACTGGAAAACGTTCTAGTACGCATATGATAATTCTACATCCCAACCGACTTCATAATCATGGACATCAAGGAGGACACTATTACCCCAATTATCCTAGGAAGACCGTTCCTAGCTACAGCCGGAGCTATTATAGACGTGAAGAAAGGAAGGCTAACATTCGAAGTAGGAGAAGAAAAGATAGAGTTCATTCTCACCAAGTTCTTACAAGCACCAGCCATAGACGATACCTGCTATTTAGTAGACGAAATTGACGAATGCATAAGAGAACTTGAAAATGAAGAGACCACGTATTCAGAAATAATAAAGATTCAAATACCCGATATTTCTGAAGACGATGATTGGTGTAAACCGTATAAAGACGACAGCCTAAGCGAAAACTTAGCACTGACCCCAAACCATATGCCAGGTCCGAAGAACCTATCTTTAGAACTTAAAACACTACCCAAAAACCTTAGATATGAATTTCTAGACGATGAACTAAAAAGACCAGTGATAGTCAACGCCGACTTAGGACAACCAGAAACCGAAAAGCTACTAGAAGTCTTAAAGAAGTACCCCACTGCGTTAGGCTATAACATAAGCGATCTAAAAGGTATAAGCCCTTCAATCTGTATGCATCGAATTACAATAGAGGAAGACTCTAAAACCTCTAGAGAGCATCAGAGGAGACTGAACCCCATCCTAAGCACTGTAGTCAGAGATGAAGTAAAGAAATTGCTAGATGCAGGAATCATCTACCCAATCTCCGATAGTGAATGGGTTAGCCCAGTTCATGTCGTACCAAAGAAAGGAGGAGTCACAGTAGTTAAAAACGAAAAAGGCAAATTCAATAACAAAAAGAGTCGTGACTGGAAGCAGAATGTGCATTGATTATAGGAAGCTTAACAAGGCCACACGAAAAGATCACTTCCCGTTACCCTTCATAGACCAAATGTTGGAAAGATTAGCCAAACATTCATATTTCTGCTATCTAGATGGTTATTCAGGATTTTTCCAAATTCCCATTCATCCTGATGACCAAGAAAAGACTACATTCACCTGTCCTTATAGTACTTTTGCTTACCGCCGAATGCCGTTCGGACTCTGTAATGCTCCAGCAACCTTCCAAAGTTGCATGATGGCAATCTTCGCAGATTTCATAGACGACATCATGG